TTTTTTTTTTTTTCTTGGCAACGCTTCTCTTTTCATCGAGTAGATCTAGATCAACCCTAAAAAAAGGTTTCATTTCATGCTTCATCTAATTGTTGGACCCAATATGTTGGTAAGCCGATCGCAACAGGATCATTGCCTCGATACATAGGCAATTGAAAAGGGGGTTTCTCACGTGGCCAATCTGGTGGTCGTACGATAGGGCCAAAGGATTTCGGGTAGTTCTTTCGACCACACTCCTTTAGCCTCTTCGAGTTTTATTTTCGCTGGTAGTTAATAATTTTGTTCATAAACTCGACTTGACCATTTGATTAGGAATAATATGAGGTAGAAAAATGATTCTTGATATGTAAATGTTCAAAAAGTGATTTGAATTTTGTAGCTGGAATTATTTCCCAATATCCTTGACAATAAAATTGGGGACCCTGAATTGACAAATTATAAAATTCCACACAAAAGCGATTATCTTCTGTTCAATAATAGTCACGAGTGGTTCAAGACCCATTTAGTAAAGTATAGATGACGACCGCAACATATGTGACCTCGCCCTTGGCCATTTGCAAGGGCCCGTCAGATCGATCCCACACTTCACCAAGGGCTGAATAATGAATTAAGCGTTTGGCTTGGTTGTCTTTGTTAAGGGTGAAGAATTGACACTGACTATATTTTCGAATGAGTTCAAGCGTGTTTTTGTTAAGAGTGAATCAATAATTGCCCTGTCTTATGATTTTGTAAAAATAAGCTTGGCCCGTAGAATGGTTTTCACATATGCATTCGTGAATTCCTCACATTACGTATTGCACTTATCATCGTCAAGGTACTTTAGGAGAGTTAATAAATAGCCCCTTCCATACAAGTTTCCATCGATTATAAGTGCTGCTCTTGTTCGAATTGCTCAGGCTTCAGATAGATCCTCAGGTAGCAGATATTTATCTAAATACAATCGAAGCGGAGTCATCTAGTTGTGTTTATCGGCGTTGGTTTCTTATTTGGCTTACGCTGTCATTTATCTCGAGGGTCGACTTAATGAGATGATCGATCACGATATGGTCTACTTGATCAACACACACACTAGATGCCAAACGTGTCAGGCATCAGCTCAGGCATTCTAGCATTGCAAGATAGGTAGCAAGATCTGTTGAAAGTGCGTTAGTTTTCCTTGACCAACTCGAAATAGGGGATCAATCAGGGTTGTTTGACTACAAAACTTCCAGTTACATGATTTAGTATTAACATGAAATCACTTTAAATTTATAATTCGTTAAATCCATTGATCGGGACGTATCCAATCCGACACTTAGGGCATCGTGTTCAACTTCATTATTAGTAGAAGGAAATTGAAACCTGATTGTCGAACATAAAAACTTCGTATCGGGGCTTATTAGCATGAATCAAACACCAGCTAAAACAAGAGTAAAATAACCATCCACATATAAAACACATACTTCATCATCGAGTGTCTATTTATGACTGGAGTAAATTCAACAACAAAATCGGCCAAAGTTGAACTTTATGTAAATTCAACAACAAAATCGGCCAAAGTTGAACTTTATGTCAAGTTTCTCGGCTGGAACATGATGTCAATCTGGGTCAGTTTGACAACCTATTTAATCATTCGCCGTGACGTGTCAGACCAATGCATGACTTGCTTAAGTGGGTAATTGATCAATATAAGGATGGGGCGTTTTAGGAAATATGGACGAAGAGTTTGAGATGAGACGACCAAAGCGTGTTCTTTATGACAGAGTATCTCAATTTGGCTTTATGGAGAGCATGGCTAACATAACAGATTGGATGTTGGACGCTACTATCATTTCAGACCAGTGAAATGTCATTCTTCAATAATAATCAACATTTAAGCATGAAGATCAAGAACTTTAGTTTGAAATTAACTTGCATAAATTGAACGATTCAACAAGCACAACAATCACAACCGAATCCAAAATATCATCCCTTATCCCTAGCAAATCGGATTAACTACTCATATTGAATTCAACCAAATCAAGCGCAACAATCAAATCAATCATATTCATGGATTAAATGAATAGAAAAACTTACTATTAAAACGAAATTGAAACGTGGTCTCGAGCAATAGGGACTTTACAAGCCTGTTGCCTACATATACTTCCGTTGTCTTTCATATCAGATCGACAAACACTCGATTCACGAATTGATGGTGTGTAGCCCCTATGCTTAAGCCTGAAAGTTATCATTTTGTAGCAACACAAACCTCGGGCGGAGTAAAAGACATTGAGTTTCCTTTTTGGAATACATAGAAATATATAACAAGAGCAAGATTTCATAAAACTTATCAACTCATGGCCTGCAGTCGAGTCTGCCATGCAGTCGGTATGAGGCAAGGGGTAGCTGTCTTTGGGGCAAGTTTTATTGAGATCATTAAAATCAATTCAAAGTCTCCATTGCCCATTTGATTTTTTTGACCAGAACAGGGGTTGGCAACCCACTCACTGTAATACACCTTGTAACGCAAAAATTCGTATTATTGAATTAATAAACACGAGAACTTCGTACAAAATGATTTCAACGGATCAAATGAAATATAGTGGATTACAAATCTTCTATTATTCCTCTGATTAAATTCTTCCAGAACAATCTTCAAATGGATTTGAGACTTTTAGAGACGAATCTTCAGTTTGATCTCCGTCGGTCTTGAATTTGGATTTAATTAACGTTTCTTCGAGAGCTTGACAACTTGATCTCGAATAGAACGTCGTGATTTCCCAAGAACGTGAAGAACATGAGTCCTTGGTCTTCGCCGCAAAGTTGATTTTGATCTTTTCTACGTCGGTCTTGACTTTAATAACGTAATTCGGAGGCTTGGAAGCTTGTTTTCGATTAAACGTTGGTTTTGGGCTTGAATGCTCTTGAACCTTCATGCAGATATTCAAGAACGCCTTTGAATCTTCAAGACACTTTGACTTTAATAACGCAATTCGGAGGCTTGACAGCTTGTTTCCGGATTGAACGTTGGTTTTGGGCTTGAATGCGCTTGAATCTTCCTTCGGATCTTCAAGAACGCCTTTGGATCTTCAAGAACACTTGAATCTCGTGGAGAAAATTCTCTAGAGCTCTTGAACTTGAATATGAATTGTGATTTTTCACCTTAGGGAGAGCCCTATTTATAGGTGTTTGAGAGATGGTCTTGGAAAAGAAGACTTTAATTTGTTTGATCCATAATTTCTAATACTTATTTTTTAATAATTATTTAAAGAGATAATTAGGAGAAAGAGTCTTGGAAAAGAAGACTTCAATTTGATTGGTCCATGAATTTTCACTTATTTACCTCTTTAATAATTATTAAAAGAAATAAT